ATATATATATAGCCATATGTGGTGGTATGTTCCTGTTGTCCCAGCCACTCAGGAGGCTGAGGCAGGAGGATGACTTGAGCCCAGGGAGCCATGTTTGTGCCACTGCATTTCAGGCGGGGGTACAGAGTGAGACCCTGTTACAAGAAAAATCACTTTTTCTTTTTCAAATTGGTTAACAAAGCCAAATTCAACACCGTGGCTTACATAGGAGACATACTAACAACACAGATTTAGAATTATTTTTTTTATATAAAAAAGAGTGGTACTTAATAATGAGAGATTAAACACTTCCCCAAGATTGGGACCAGTCAAGAATGTCCTCTTTCACCATTCCTATTTGACAATGTAGTGGAAGTCCTAGCTAGTGCAATAAAACAAGAAGGAAAAATAAGAGGTATACATATTGGAAAGGAAAAAGTAAAGCTATTTTTATTCACAAATGACATGACTGTCCATGTAGAATCTACCCAAAGAATCTATGGAAAATTCCTGGAACTACTAAGTGAATATAGCAAGGTTTCAGAAAACAAGGTCAATATATAAAATTTAATTGTTTCTGTGTATACTAGCAATGAAAAATTGGAATTTGAAATTACAAAAAAGAAAGCCATTTACAATAGCACCAAAAAAGTGAAGTACTTAAGTATAAATCTAACAAAATATATGCAGGATCTGTATATAGAAAACTATGGAACATTAATGGAAGAAATTTTTAAAAATCTAAATAAATGGAGAGATATTCCATGTTCATGGATTGGAAAGACTAAATATTTTTAAGATGTCAGTTCTCCCCAGCTTGATTTATTGATTCAATACCATTTCAATAAAAATCTCAGGAAGTTTATTGTAGTAATCAACAAACGGACTCTGAAATTTTATATAGAAATGTAAAGGAACCAAAATAACCAACCCAATTCTGAGAAAGAAGAACAAAATTGGAGGACTCTCATAGTCCCATTTCAAGGCTTAGTACAAAGCTGCCATTATCAAGACAACGTAGTATTGGTGAAAGAATGAACACATTGATCAAGAGAACATAATAGAAAGCCAATAAATGTACAAATATTATCAACTGATTTTTGATGAAGGCACAGAGGCAATTTGTTGGAAAAATGAGTCTTTTCAACAAATAGTGCTGGAACAATTAGACATTCATACATTAAAAAATGAGCCTAGACACAGACCTCACAAGACAGAAAAGTTAGCTCTACATTGATCATAGACCTAAATATAAAATCAAAAATTTCTGGAAGAAAGCACACATGAAAATCTGTGTGAACTTGAGCTGTTGATGAGGTTTTAGAAATAATATAAAAAGCACAATCCACGAAAGAAAAACTGGTAAGTTAGATTTTACTAAAAATTGAAGCTTCTGCCCTGTGAAAGACACTATTAAGAGGATGCAGAGATAAACCATAGAGTGTGCAAATATATTTTCAAAACCCTTACCTGGTAAAGGACTTCATCTAAAATGTACAAAGAACTCTTAAAACTCAACAATAAGAGAAAACAATTTTAAAATGTGTAAAAGATCTGAAAGGACACCTCACCAAAGAAGATACACAAATTGCAACTAAATATGTAAAAAAGACTCTCAACATTATTTGTCAGGGAGACAAAGCAGCAATGAAATACTATTACCTATCAATTAGAATGGCTAAAATTAAAAAACAAACAAGCGAACCTGACAATACCAGTTGCTGGTGAGAATGTGGAACAGTAGGATTCTTATTCATTGCTGGTGGGAATCCAGAATGGCACAGCTACTTTGAAAGATGCTTTGACAATATCCTATAAAACTAAACATAGTCTTACCATTCAGTATAGCAGTTGTTCTCCTGTGTCCTTATCCAGTTGATTTGGATGCTTACATTGACGCAAATGCCTGCACATGAATATTTATAGCAGCTCTGATCAGAGTTGCCTCAAACTGGGAGCAACCAGGAGGTCTTCAATAGGCGAATATAGATAAACAAATTGTAGTACATTGATACAGTGGGATAATATTCAGCAATGAGAAAAATAAGCTATCAGTCCATGCAGCAACATAGGTGAATCTTGAATGCATAATGCTAAGAGAAAGAAGCCCATCTGAAAAGGCTGTGCACTGTATGATTGCATTACTATGATATTCTGGAAAAAGGTGGTTCTATAGAGATCAAAAATCAATCAGTAGTTGCCAGAGATTTGGGGAGGGGAGAGAGTTGAATAAGTGAAGCAGAGGGGGACTTTTTAGGTCAGTGAAATTATTGTGTATGATACTGTTGCTCATACATAAAACTGTGCAAAAGCTCATAGAATCGTATAACAGAGTGAATTTTAATGTAGGCAAAATAAAAAATCAGGAGATTGAGGGACTAAAGCATAGAGCACGGTGTTTTAACTTATTACAAATTTAACTGTATTACAGATGTATGACATAACCTTGCTGAGGAAAGGTGCTGACCTAAGCAGCTTTGAAAATTCATAGAGTCTATAAGACAAAAGACAAAAGGAACTACATATAAACACTGTGCTCTAAGCCAACAATTCTGAAACCATTGTATATGTATGCTGGGGGGTGAACAAATAAGTAAATAAATAGATGACAGATGGTGGGAGCCAGATTTCTCATTATTGAGGTGGTAGGTGAAGGCTAGTGTAAATCATGTAGTAACAGATGAGAGAAATATCAGTATGAGCCCATGTTTAGCTTAATATAGATTACAATGGATATTTTACATATAATTATAGATATGCATGTATTACTAGTGAATCTAATAAATTCAAAAGGAAGAAACACAAATATGCAAAATTAGACGTCTTTGGGAGGAAGGGATGTTTTCCTTTTTTCCCTGAAAAGAGCGAAAAGTTTAAAAGTCACAAGATGATTTTCACAATTTTAAGCAAATACATATGAGAATCTAGATAAAATTGATAACTCAGAAAATACAACCCATCAAAATTGACCTGAGTGACATTAAAAAAATAGAGAATAGTGAAAAAAGTAATAGAGTACTGCTACTGAATGCAGCAAGCCGGACTGGTGGAATTCTACCCAACGTTAAAGATCAGGCAATCCCAATATTACGTAAGTAAGTTCAGAACACTATAAACAGATAAAAACAAAAAGAAAGCTTGCAAATTGATTCTTATGAAATAAGCGTAATGCATTTTCCAAAACCGGATATTGTACCGGGAACTTTAGATTTATGAACATTGAGATAAAATATTAAATCTTAAATAAAATATTAGCAAACAATCCAAATGAACATTAGAAAAATATTAGGTCATCATAACTCAGAGAGTTTATTCCAGGAATACATATTTTATTCAGTATGTAATATAATTCATCACATTAATACAGCTAATGAGAAGAATTTCATGATTATCTCCATAAATACACAAAAGGACTTTGACAAAATTGGTACTGATTTATGCTGAAAAACACAACAAAAATAAATTTATGGATTTCTTCTACACATAAAATATATACTTTAACTCAAAAGCTTGCATTTTACTTAAGAGGAACAAACACTGAAGACCTTGTCACCAAAATTAGGAACAAGAAAAAGATAACAACGTTATCTCATAACGTTGAACATTGGGATGGAAGTGTTAGCTAATGCAGTTAGACAAGAGAAAGCAATTTGAGACACTGAAATTGAAAAGAAAATAAAAATAATCTTTATTTTCATGTGCAATTGTTATTTATCTGACAAACCCCGAATTATCAATGGAAAAATGACTACAAATAATAAAAGAATTTAGTAAAATAATAAAAAATAGGAAATAAAATTACTATATAAAAAATCAATAGCTTTGTGTATACAGACGAAAAACAGAGAGAAACTAAAATGGAAGGGGAAATCCAATATATGGCAGCAAAATGATAATAAAATACTCAGTTATTTGTTTAGCACTAGCGTCCAAGATTTATATGAGGAAAACTCACAAAACACTATTGAAGGAGACAAAATGGAACAAATGCAAAGGCAACCGTGTCCTTAGATAGAAAACTTAACATCATAAATATGTTTAGTCTGCAAGGTTAACTTATACATTTAATAAAATCACAATAACAATATCCTAAATATCTTCTGGGCCAGACAGGCCAGTTAGAAAGTTCACTTGAAAGGATAAATGAGAGAGAATAGTTACAAAACATATCAGGAGTAAAAAATACAAAGTCTTGGGTGTGGGTAGAATTAGTTCTACTATATTAAAACTTACTTGTAAAATCTTTATAATTAAAGTAGGATGGTATTGATGCATGAATAAAGGGACAATGTAACAGAACTGAAAATCAGAAATAGACCTCATTATACATACAAATTTAGTATGCTATGGTGGCCTCGCTCAAAATCAGTGAGGATATAGGATGGAACTTTTAATAAGAGGATTAGGATAATTGGAGAGCCATGTGGAAAAAGTTAAATGGGATTGATATCTTATACCATTGAACAAGATAAATTCCAAGTGGACCTGATATTTATAGACAATGTAACTATACAAGTGAAAAAGTAAGAAAACGTGGATGAATACCTGTATGATCTTTGAGTGGGAAAAACGTTTTAACTATGACTTAACATCCAGAAACATGTTATAAGGGAAACACTACTGCTAAAAAAACTTTTTCATAGAAAAGGAAATCATAGACACAATAAAATGACAAAATGACAAGCTGGATTTACATGGCCAGGTAACATATACATCTAGATTGAGTAATTAAATAAGTTATTTAGTGATGAGGAAGTTGGTAGCTTTAACAAGGGCCATTCTGGGTGCATATGCAAGGTCAAATCCTGACTGGAATGGAGTGAGGATGAATGGGAAATGAGGAAATAGAGGTTGCTGGTGTCCACAATGCCTCCAGCAAGTCAGGTAGAGAGGGAGAAGATAGGGCAGAGTTGGAGTGGGGGAGGAGGGGCAGGACTAATGGAGTGCAACTGACTTGATGCAGATGGCATAGGTGAGGGCTCACCTGTGTGATCTGCATCAAAGGTGAGTTGTTCATATCTTTGTGAAGTTCTGAAAAATTATAAAAGTCATCCAGGTTACTACCAAAAAAGAGATCAACATCAGCAGCATTATTTGAAGCTTCGTCTTTGAGGACATGACAAATGTCCCAGGAGAGATGACACAAGAGAGGAGTCTTGTGAGAAGCGAATCTCTTTGTACTCATTATTTAACTTCTAACCTGTGATTTGCTTCCAAAATTTGTTCTTTTGTGAGTCACTTTCTTCTTTCCTTCTGCTAACCAACAACTCATACCCCCAATCCCTTTGTCCACCTCTTGGCTAGGATTGTTGCTTCCTCCTTCCAGGACCCTGAAATGGAAGTCAGAGTCACCTCATAGGTTCTCTCACTGCCTTCCCTATTTTCTTAGTTACAACACATAACAAGTACAATGAGAAGCAGAAAAATTAATTTATTAGCATGTCTTTTGGAGGAAGACTAGGCATAGTGGATAGGACCACAAGAATATGCTTGTATTACAAAACATAATCTGTAAAATGCCTTTAAAGAAAGCCAGTCCTGTTAACTGGGCAGGGAGGTAGGGTGTGTAGCTTTTGTTTGGCCGAATGCCAAGTCTGAAATTTGGGAGGGGACACTCCTTCAGGAATGAATTACTCTGCATAATAAAGAAGTGATGATCCAATAAGGCTGGGTATTGCATGAGGAAGGGGAAAAAGGAGATAGATAGAAGCAGTGAGGGAGAGAGATGAAGAGAGAGAGAAAGAAGCTCCTTCCCACCATGCCCATGTTAGCACAGTCATGGAGAGCAACAGTAAAATTATATGCTTTAAATAGCTCATTTTGGGAAACAAAATGTAAAGCCTTGCCTCCTTGTCCCTTACCAAATCCTCAGTGAAGTCTCAATTGTGTGAAAGCTTTTGTGTGAGTGGATTCATTTGGTAGAATCCAAAAGTTTCTATGTTTTGAATCCGGTATGTGCAGAGCAAAATCAGACACTTCACATGCAAAGCGGAAGTGAGAGAACAAAGGATCTGTTTAGAGCTGGTTAACCTTTGGGAAGTCCAAGATGAAATTATTTTAAACAAGATGCAGCACACAGTTGCAACTCATATTGAAACACTACCTTCTGGTCGATCTATGACTTCCCAATGTCTGAAGCATGGTGTGGGAGAACTTGTAGAGATGTTGAGTGTTAAGACCAAATGAATGAATGCAGGAGAGAAGACAAGGGGAAGCTCTAATTTGTGCCACACACTATGTTGCAGTAGATTATTTACTTTTTAATTTCCAAGAGACTGCCAATACCTGAAGAACTGGAAGAATGTCTGTCTCAGCATTGTATGCCCAGTGCCTAGCATGGTGCCTGACAAGCACAGTATTTGTTGAATAAATCATTTCAAAACAGAATCCTGATTTTCAGACCAACTTCAACTTCTATCCACTGAAATTTTATATTTTCTCAGAATGTACAAAAAGCATGTTCAATAGGGTAAAAAAAAATCAGTCAAGGGTCTACTCTGACCCCTCCTGCCCCTGAGACTGACCCAGGTTTTCTGACTTTTAAGTGAGTTGTGTAAAGTGTGAGTTATAACATCTCATCTGAATCATTTTTCCTAGAAAGTAGTGTGTATTGATAAGTTTCAGCAGCATTAAAAAAAAGTATGATTGCCATTTAAGTTTCAGCAGCATTAAAAAAAGTATGATTGCCATTACAATTATACTCTTATAAATCTTAAATTCTCAACCTCCTTTTCATAGATCTTTAAACTTGTTCTGTAGAATATTAAGAACTTACCCAATAGATGTCAGGTACCATGGAATGCACTGAAGATAAAGAGAAGCAGCAAAATCAATGAAATAAACATTGATGTAGGATTAGAATACAGTAGTAGAAATACCAAATTCTTGTTGCTCTTTGAAGAAACCTTACTCTTCCAAGCTCCTGAGTCTTTGCCCAAACTGTTCTGCCGGAAATTCTTAGTTCCTCCCTCACTGCACCGACGCCGCTCAATCTCTGCTGTGCTTCCTGGTAAATCTGGAAATTTCCTATTCATTGTTTGAGTTTGAGTTTGAATACCAACTGCTCTTTCCTCAACTGTTTTCATTGATAATTCCTTCCTTTGTGCTCCCATAGTCTTATACGTGTACCTTGTAACAATATGTGCTACCCTGTTGTATCTCCTCATGTGTCTGTACCTTCATTAGATTGATGGACATTCTAGAGGAGACTCCCTCAGAGAGTCCCTTATTTAAGAGGAGAAACACCACAGGCTGAATCCACCTACCTTGGATTGCTGATAGGTCACAAGATTTCAGTCCTGACAACCAAGCAGTTGTATGTTTCATATCACTGGTCTGACATTTCCACTGATGCACTACCAACTTTGGTTAGAATTGGCTCCTTTGAGAGTGACCAGAGAGCTTCTTTGTCAGAAAGAATTTTACCGATGGCAGAGTTTTGGAAATTTATTAATCCCGTCCTCTGTACCATACTTATTTTTCTACTTTCTATTTTCTAGTTGGAACCCTTAATCAAGATCACATTTGTCTAAGCCATAAGCAACTGCAAATCAGAATTCTTAGAATCCTATGGCCAGATAATGTCGTTTATTCTGAAATCAATGTCTCACCTAGATTCCACTCCTTAGCTTGAGCTCTGCATATCTCAGTGTCTTTAAGATGTCTCCACTTGGAAATCCTTACAGGTCGAGGTGAGCTGGATCCAGCCTTTGCTAGCTTATGAAAGCCTATTTGTGCACATTTCTTTCCAACTTCTCATTCAGTTATATCATCTTGGTAGCTTGAAAGAGGCCATGATGGGTACATTTGCATCGTGGAAATTATTAAAGTAAACAGATTTTTGGTTTTGTTTTCTGGGAGAGCAGGTTTGTCAGTATGCTCCTCCTCATACCAATCTCAAGGTCAACTTGTCCCACTGGAGTGTTTTTTCTTCTCCCAAATGTCTTCTGCTGCTGCTTCTCTCCATCTTTGTGAATGGTATCCTCAATCAGAAATGCGGCCACTGTCTTTGACTCACTTGTCTCCTCTCCTTATGCTTCTATAGGGTCATCCTCAGACAGGACTGAGTCAGTGTACAGTGTTAGTTGTCTCTTTCATCAGTTGTAATAGAAACTTGTAGCTGGACGTGTGTTAGCTGTGATACACAAACTTTCCTGGCCTCTGTTGTATTTGAGTGTGGCCAGGACACTGAGTTCTCTGATATGTAAGCAGAGGCCATGTGTGCCATACCTCCTCCAGGTTCTTGTCTCTCTTCCTCCTTGTGTGAACTAGAAGGGGCAGCAGCCTAGCTTACACCACAGAGGTGATGACAATATCCCAGGACAGGGATTCTTAAAGATTCTTTGTGACATGGGCCCTTTCACAGTCCTATGATAGCACTTTTCCAAATACATAACATAAAATGTGTAGAATTATAATAAAAGCCAAGTATACTGAGGCACAGTTATCAACATTTAAAACAACCTAATTTGTTTTATAGTCATATAGCAACTTTTTATTAACACACTAAATAACAAAATTCAGCAGCCAGGTCTTATATTTACAGTAATTTCAAAGCAATAATAATTATGAGTGATATTTCAAGATTCTTTATTAACTGAACTGTAATATAAAAATATCTGTGATTTCAAATTATAGACTAAGCCACAGGCATTGTGAATACTACTGTGATTTGTTGTCATTATTCATAATTGAAACTATTGCTAAACTTCATTTAGAAGTTAGTGAAAAGAAAGATGTAATTTTTTTCCCATTCAGGCTCACAGGTCTCCTAAATTCTGTTCACAAGCCCATTTGTAGGCCTGCCAACCCTACAGTAAGACCATTGGCAGAGGATGGCAGAGCTTGATGTCTGGCTTCCTGGATTACCTCAAGGTACACATCCCAACTAGATGATTATGTGAGACATAAATAAATCCCTATCTTGTTTTCTTGTTTAAGCCATTGCATTTTGGGAGTCTTTTTTTTTTCATGGCATTCCACCCCATCTACATCTACCTATTAAGTATCTCTTCAATTTGTGGTTCCTTTTTTTTTTTGAGACGGAATCTTGCTCTGTCGCCCAGGCTGGAGTGCAACAGTACCATCTTAGCTCACTGCAACCTGCACCTCCTGAGTTCAAGTGATTTTCCTGCCTCAGCCTCCTGAATAGCTGGGATTGCAGGCATGTGCCACCATGCCTGGCTAATTTTTGTATTTTTAGTAGAGATGAGGTTTCACCATGTTGGTCAGGCTGCTCTTGAACTCTTGACCTCATGATCCACCTGCCTCGCCTCCCAAAGTGCTGGGATTACAGGCGTGAGCCACCGTGCCCGGCCTGTGGTTCTTTTTTTGTCATCACTGTTGCTGTCTGGTGTAGGTATTACTGGGGCATTCACTGGGAATCATTTCAGCTTTGGTTTCACAGCATTACTGAGGTATAATTTACATGCAGTAAGAATACATGCATTTAAAGACACCTGTGTGCCCACCGCAATCAATAGGTAGAATATTATCACTACCCTGAAGTTTCATTTCCTACTAAATTCTGTCCTCCTGCTGGGTGCGGTGGCCCACACCTGTAATCCCAGCACTTTGGGAGGCCGAGGCGGGTAGATTACAGGTCAAGAGACTGAGACCATCCTGGCCAAATGGTGAAACCCGGACTCTACTAAAAATACAAAAATTAGCCAGGCATGGTGTCACATGCCTGCAGACCCAGTGACTCAGGAGGCTGAGGCAGGAGAATTGCTTGAACCTGGGAGGCGAAGGTTGCAGTGAGCCGAGATCACACCACTGCACTCCAGCCTGGGTGACAGAACAAGACTCTGTCTCAAAAGAAAAAAAAAAAGGCAAAAAAATATTCTGTCTTCCTTCTGTGCATGCCCCACTGCCCATGCCTAATGTGCTTCTGGCCCTGGACAATTACAGATTTAGTGTTTGGCACTACAGATTAGATTTCGTGTTTTAGGGTTTTACATAAATAGAATCATGTAGAATGTATGCTTTTGTGTCTGGCTCCTTTGACTTGTTATGTTTTTGAAGATTCATTGATATTGCATTTATCAGTAGGTTGTTCCTTTTCATTAGTGAGCACTATATTTTATCTGTTTCTCATCCGATAAATATTTGGGTTGTTTCAAGATTGGGGCTACTGTGAATGGAGCTGCTCTGAATATTCATATATAGTTCTCTCTGTGGACAAATATTTTAATTTCTGTTTGGTAAATGCCCAGTGGTGGAATAACAGGGTCATATGGTAAGTAAATCTGTAACTTTTGACAAATCTTCAAAAAGCCTACTGGAGTTTATTGCTTTTAATTTGTAGGTAAATTTGGGGAGAATTGCTCTAGTAACAATATTGAATTTTCCAGTTCATGAAAACAGTTTTTACCTCTCAGTTTGAATTTATGAAGACTTGGTTCTATGTACTTTAAAGTGGGTCTTGAAAAGCCTGGGCCACCGGAGGAAACACAACATATCTACAACTATACAATCTTTGATAAACCTGACAAAAACAAGCAATGAGGAAAGGATTCCCTATTTAACAAATGGTGATGGGAAAACTGGC